GAATGGTTGCCTGATTGTAGACATCCTTTCCTAGGCCAACATAGGTGGAGATCTGGCCGCCGAAGCAAAGAATGACCGGACGAGGTGGGGGCACTTCAATTTCCGCGATGGTCCTACCCCCTTGTTCAAAGTCCAGGAGCTTCTCCTCCAGCTCGGTACGAGAGGCAGCATTGAATATCAACGCCTTTGGCAAATTGCGATTTGACTGGCGGGAAATTTGAAACGACAAATTTCGCACTGTTAAGTCCTTCGACGAGTCGGCATTATCGTGAATGAAACGCCTGAATTTGGTAGCATATGCTCGAAGACTTTGTGAGTCGCTTCCGCAAAACCAAAAGGGGAAGCTTGTAGCAGATGCCGATAGCAGTGGGGGATTCGAAGCCAAAGAGCGGTGCTTCGGTGCCTGTGTGATGATCATTGAAGCATTAGAGCCTGAGGCGCCGTAGTTATTGATAAGAGCAGCCCGGAAATCCACATTCCAAGGCGTCAGTTGCGTTGCAATATCTATCATGTCTTCAGGATAAGCATTCAGGGCAGGGCTCATAGAAGTGAAGCTAGCCTGTGGAGGGATGAAGCCCTTGTTGATCATGAGCAAGATTTTCACCAAGGATACTATACCCGACGCAAATTCGGTGTGACCAAGTAGACCTTTCACAGACATCAGAGAAAGTGCGTCTGAGCGGATTGAGCCTCCAAATACCCTTCTAACAGCATCATACTCCGCGGGGTCACCCACTGGAGTTCCGGTTCCATGGGCTTCAACTACAGAAATAGCCTGTGGCTCAAGCCGCGCCTGTTCCACCACATCTCCGAAAAGCCCCGCCAGTGAGAGCGAATTAGGAACTGTGATTGCTGTACAATTCTGGTTCTGGTAGACCTTCGTGCTCGCTATCACTCCAAGCACTTGGTCTCCATCTGCAATTGCAGAGGAAAGTCGCTTGAGGAAAACAACGCCAGCGCCCTCTCCTCTGCAATATCCGTCACCTCTTGCATCAAACGGCTTGCACTGTCCAGTCGGGCTTAAAAAGGAAGCACCAGCCAGGTTTTGGAACCATTCAGGACTGGTGAGGACATTGACTCCGCCCGCAAGCGCGCTTGTGCATTCGCCATGGAGGATAGCACGGCAAGCTTGGTGAATAGCGACACCGGATGAGGAACAAGCAGTATCAATTGTCAAACTTGGACCTGTCCACCCGAAATAGTGACTGACCTTCCCGGCAGCGAAGCTTCGGAGATTGCCCGTGGCCGAATAAGCGTTTGCTGAGTGGCAGGCAATGTTACGTTCGTAGTCGTTGTTCCCGATTCCAATATAACATCCGATGTGCTTGCTATTATGGGAAGCTCCGAAATACCCAGACTGTTCAATGGCCTGATATGCAAGTTTCAATACCAATCGATGTTGGGGATCGGCGGACGACATCTCGCGTGCGCTTTTCTTGAAGAACTTGTGGTCGAAGGTGTCATAGTCTCGTAGGAAATTACCGTACCATTTGCGATTCTCCTCGAGCTCCCTGAACGCCGTTTTCATACTGAAGCGCTCCAATGGGACTGTAGTGTGCTGTGATTGACCGCTAGTCAAGATTCTCCAATACTCATCAAGGTCTTCCGCTCCAGGAACATGACACGCCATTCCAATCACAGCGATCTGATCGTCTGGTAGATTGTCAAAGGGCAATGCGGACGTTGGACGGAGAATTGTACTCGGCAGAGAAGATGTTGACAGATCGCTGTCAGAGATATGAATCAGTAAAGGACCCAGCTTCTTTATCATTGTCGGTGGCACGCATCGTTCTGGACCAAAGCAGACAAAATTCGCACCACCTGCATCAATGTGTGATGACTGAACGAGACTGAACAATTTCAGCCATTCGGATGGTTTGAGCAGAATCTCTTGCAATGCATTCTCATGTAGACGGCCTCCAGTGCTCAGCCTGCTCGGCACCACCATTTCAGATGGATCGGGGAACTGGAATTTGGGGTCACGGTCGCAAAAGGCGATGAGTTGCTTTGCATCTTCACGATGTTTTGGCCAATGGAACCGGCCAGAAAGTGCAACTTCAGTGACATGTGCACCGGATAACCTGAGTTTATCAAGGAGAGCAGGAGCTGATTCTTTCGGGGCAGTCACTGTGGCCCTCTTTTCATCAACGAAAACAGAGATGTATGCCTTTTCACGTCGCGTTAATCAGTAATTTCATGTCATGTGGTCTGAGCTTGATTTACCTCTGGAAATTCTGCCAACACTTCGTCCACGCTGTCACGAGATTCCAACGCATTCCATGACATCGAGAAGGACATGGCAGGGCTGCCTGTGTCCGGTGATGCCTCCTCGGCGTCCACGAGGGCACCAACAAGCATCGATAACCTCACGGCAACAGCACCGTATTGCTGAACCTTGGCTAAGCTGGAGGCACAGCTCACAGCAAAGGCGCTCAGAATACCGGTACATAGACCGAGACTCTCGGAAGTCTCAAGGACGGATTGGGGTATCTCGTCGGTATCCCCAAGACCCGGCAACCCAGACCTCACAAAGGCGAGATACTGGGTTAATTGAACAATTACAACCAAGGGTGATAGTAGGATATTGGGTAAGGGAAACAGAGAATCCGGTAGACTCCCTGTCTGCAAGCCCCGATGCAACTCTCGCAATAGCCGTTGACCCTCCACATGTTGCAGTTTTGGAACTTGTTTGACGAGACTCTCCCAAATAATTGGCAGTTCTGATAGGGCATCTAACGCCCAGCTGTCGTATAGGTGGCTATGAAGTGTTGTAAAGAGTTTGGTATCAAAAGCCAATGCCTGTGGTCCGAACAAAAACACCTTGGGGCTCACCCGAGGACCAGACTCCGACGGCATGTTGCTAGTCACGTTGAGGTCGACTGGTTTACCACTGAGAAACAAAAAGTTGAAGGTCCGGTGTTAAATCGATGGGGATATAGAATTCAATCCATGGGTTGATTTAAGTTAAGTAGGGCCATTGACAACTTGATCTTGAAGCATCCCTATGCAATCTATCCACAGTCGGGGATTTTTGCATGCCACGAGGCTAGCATCGCTGATATGGAGCTTCGATTTGTTGAGTAATAGTTGTTTAAAGATCAGATTCAACGTCCTAAATTACCCGAAGCGAGGCCCAGGGGTGGACGGGTTGGATAAAGGGCCCGAGAGAAAGAATCCGAGGGCTAGCCACTAGGTAAAACCCCCGGACAGCCACCCTCACGTCAGCCTCAACCGTTTCTACGAGACTAATGCAGAACAATCGTACCTGCAGCCAGTCAGAATTCATTGCTGCGGCCTATCGCCAGCCGTGCTTTACCATGTTTCAATTTCACATACGATTGGAATCGGATCCAATGGTAGCCTACGAGCCTTGGATAACCCCCCCCCCCCAACACTTATGCCCTATTGTCTGTTGACGAAGCGACATGAGAAATGGCAGTTCGCGTATCAAGCCCAACGATGACCCTATGGGCATCAGCCAATCGCCTCGTCGGTATACAATTTATACAACCTTGGAACTAGCAGGAAGCAACAACCACAAATCTATTAATTGATAAACAATAAATAACTGGGACCTCTAAAGTACTAGAAAATGAAATTCTAAGAAACACCCGTCTCCTTTGCAAGCTCGCGGATCTGATGAACAACAAGTGAGACATCCTTTAGCTTGAGAGGCACTCGATGATCCCCATCCCATTCTATTAACCTCCGGCTTTGCGGAGCGCAAAAATCCTCGAACAGTTTTCGGTGATGATCAAGTCCCTTGTCTCGCAATCCATGGACGTGAAGCGTAGGAATTCGCAACACATGACCCTTGCCATAAAATAATTCTCGCTCGCTATGTTTAAGGTCGGTGATTTGCGAGGCGTCCGGTAGTGGCGGATCCAAGGTCAAGTCGGAGTCCATTGATATGAAAGGTGCCTGCCCCGCCAGGAGAATCCCGAAACGGAAGTTAATTCCAGCTGGGCGGGTGCCGAAGAGCTCTTGCCAGCTTTGTTGTCGGTAGAGGAGGCTGGCGGATACTTTTGCACCCTGGCTGAAGCCTAAGAGGGCAATCCATTCGCCAGTAGCTCCAACAAGATCGTCTTGCTGCATGGTTTTTTCTAGCCACGTATCAATCTCTTGGACTGCATCTTCTGGAGGGATCACTGGGTGCTCTGGTCGCCATCGAAGCCACCGCCGGAAAGGACCCCATTGACTGTAAACTGATAGGACGTCTGATCCAGCCTGCGATGCAAAAGGAGCTTGGGCGAATACAAGACGATATTCCGATTTGAGTCCAGCAACAAGCCCTCGGCATTGAGCCTGGAAGATTCGGGCGTTTGTACCACCACCATGAAGACATAATATCCGTGGCAGATGGAGGGTGGAGTCGTCTAGCGCGCGTGTTGTGTTCATTCTGGGCAATACTCTTCCTCGCGATAGCAAAGGATGAAGGAAATTGGGATCTAAGGACGTCCGAACGTAACGCACGAGATACGCCTCTCTCAGCGGTGATTATGTTGATATCTTCAGAGTCAAACGTTCAAGATGGCGGAAAGACGATTGATCAATACGAGATAACTGTCTACGTCTAGAGTACTATAGAGTATACTGGCCAGTTTATGATAGGTAGCCGATAACATGAGCTATAGTCAGAAAATAAAATATTAAAGTAAAAATAAAAATTGAATGCCAAAAATTGCTCATTCGTTTAACTCGGTCCTATCATAAAAGAATTCACAACAAAAGCACTTAGCAGCTGGCCTTCGCATATCCGGCGACTTTCCGCAGAGAAAGCAGCCGAGCCGGCATAACGCCACATATAGCTACTAAATCGCCCGATTGCAGCTATACCCAATTCTATCCAAGAGTCCTGGATCGTAAGTTTGCAATAAACTGGGATGGCATGATGGCTTATCGAAACAATTCTATGTCACGACGTTTATCCCCTTGGATATTCCAAAATAAAACCCAAACTACCTCAACCACCGAAATTAGTTTATCATCTGTGAGAGACAATGCCTACTCTAAGCAAGCCATCGTTCTATCTTCCACTCGTGGATATCACGCCATTCCTGGAAAATCCTCATGGGGCCGCCGCCCAGGATGTCATCGAATCGGTGCGCACAGCATGCAAATCCACTGGCTTCTTCCAAATCAAGGGCCACAAGGTCCCTCTCAGACTGCAAAAATCGGTGTTTGAAGCATCCGCTCGATTCTTCGCCCTTCCAGTAAAGAACAAACTCGAACTTGACAGCCGGAAGACCGTTGGGTTCCGGGGCTACGATGTGATGGAGACCCAGTCATATGAGCTCGAATTTGGAGCCGTTCAGGAGGCCGATGCACTGCGAGACATCAAAGAAGGCTTTTTCATCGCAACTGATCTACCTCCTGATCACCCCCATGTGGCAAACGGTCGCTTCCTGCAGGGTCCCAACGTCTGGCCAAAACCCGAGCAGCTCGCACCCGAGGATTTCCAATCGGTTCTGGAAGAGTATTATGCAGAGATGCAGCGGTTATCACATGTAGTTCTGTCGCTTCTCGCGGCAACACTACCCTACGGCCCACATGTATTCGATGAACTCGAGACTGGTGACCCAATGTCTCTGCTTCGGCTTCTCCATTATCCCCGGGGCTTGGATAAACAGGACGGAAAGAAGCTTCAGCTCGGTGCTGGTGAACACACTGATTTCGGTACCTTCACTCTCCTGTTGCAGGACGAGAATCCCGGTCTTGAAGTTCAGGACAGTGTGACAAACGAGTGGCACGGAGTACCTCCCCAGGAGGATGTGTACATTGTCAACGTGGCTGACATCCTTTCCACCATGACAGAAGGAGATTACAAGAGCAGCGTGCACCGGGTGTGGAATGTAAAGAGCAATGACCGGTACAGTGTGGTTTTCTTCTACGATGGCAACCTGGACTATAAAGTGAAACCTCTCAGGAGCTCTGGGCAGGAAGAAAATGAGGAAACCGATGCGCCCACCATTGAAGAACACGTGCGATCGCGCCTGACGGCGAGCTACGGCATTTAAAAAGAAAGTTTCCAGACTGGCATAGATAATTAGAAGGCGGATCCTTGAGGGAACACACTTCCGTGGCTTATTAAGGGCTCCAGATTCTATGTTGTCAGCTGGAGATGCCAGCTAGCTAGAGGAAAGGGGATATGTATTAAGTAACAGAAGAGAAGGAAAGACAAACTGTAAAGTCGATGCTATTGAAAGAGATATGGAAGAAGGAGAAAAGAAAGGATAGGAGGTAAGCTCCTTTCTCTCATCGGTACTCTCAATGCTGAGAACACCCGGAGAGGAGGTTACCCAATCCCAATACTCCGGCCTGCCCCATGTATATAGTGACGATAATGTCGACATATCATGTAACGGTGGCCATCAAGTCTCTAGTTTTTAAATACAAATCATAAAGTCAATCTACCATAGCAACATTCAACAAGATATCAATTTACCAATTTACTCCTCACGGCAGTTAATATGGATCTTATTCAGTCAGCAAGACAAACACGATTATAATTGACTACATATGTACCTTTCAAAACTAAATCTATGACCGATGCGGACCAAGTATCTATACCAAAGCGTATATCTCACAGAAATTCAAACTATCAACCAGAAAAACAGAAAAACAGAAAAATAAATTGCCCAACACCAAAAGAGTGAGGTGTACATAAAAGTCTCATGCTTCTATACGAAAACAAGTCTAGGAGACTTTGAAATAAATAGTCTCATTCCCCGACCAAGATAGGCTTGCGCTTTTCACTGAATGCGGTAAGGGCAGCTGTTCGATCTTTCGTCTTCAGGACAGACTCGTAGGCGGCGTTCTCAACCGCCTCACAACTGTACGAAAGCGCTCTGATTGCAGCTCGAATAGCAATAGGTCCAGCATCGGAAATTTGTTCAGCCACTTGGATACCGGTTTCCAGCGCCAAGACTCGGTTGGAGAACGCTGACGTATCCTCTGAGAGGTCTGCTCCCACAAGACGGTTGCACAGTCCCATCTTCGCAGCCTCATGTGCTGGCACCCCCCGGCCCGTCAAGATCATATCCAGAGCATTCGACATACCCACAATATTGGGGAGGCGGTAGGTGCCACCAGCGCCGGGGATAATGGCTAGCCGGGTCTCGGGTAATGCAGCCACAGCGTTAGAGGCGAAGACACGCAGGTGGCAGCATAGCGCAAGTTCCAGTCCACCCCCGAGCGCTTGGCCACTAACGCAGGCAATAGTGGGGATAGGCAGGGCAGCAAGACGAGAGTACAAGCCCCGGAGACTAGTCAAGAAGGCTTGCGTCTCTGTCAAGCTCATATCTTTGCGCTCTTTCAGGTCCGCTCCCGCACAGAAGATTCCGTCCACTGCACTCGCAATAACCAAGGCGCGTGTGCCGCCCATGTGCCGCTCGTGATGAATCTCTTCAATTTCGCAACTCAATTCGTGCACCATTTGCACTGAGAGTGCATTCTTCGCCGCAGGTCGGTTCAATTGGATAATTTTGATGGTACCAACTTGGGGAGCGTCAATTCGGTTAGAGATCAGTGTTGAGGGTATTGGCACATCACCCGCAGGGACAAGATGCCACTCTTTGGAGATACTTGTGAGGGCCTGCACCTCGGAAGCGGTCGTCTCAGTGGTAACAGATTTAACCTCGGCATTAGTGATCCCCACAGTGATGGGTTCAACTAAATCAGATTTGATAGTGGTTGGTTCGACAACAGAAGAAGTAGCCTTCGTACCGACCGGATCAACTTCAGCAGTGGTGATACCGATGGTGACAGGTTCGGTATCTGCAATTGACTTTATGGTGATTGGTTCCACTTCTGCAGTGGTGGCTTCAATAGTGACAGGTTCAATGTCTGGAGTTGACTTGGCGGTGATAGCCTCAATCACTTGAGAGGTGTTATCGACGGAGACCATGCATCCTTCCGAAGTGATCGGAGGCTGCGGTAAGGGAGCGACAAACTCCTCACGGGGGGCTCCAATGCTGTCCGCCTCACTTATGAAACGGCTGAAATACTCGTCCTCCAAGAGACACTTGATTGTACTCTCTTGTTCAGTCACCATGAACTCACAACTCCCATCCGGAACCCGGGGCAAGACAATAACAGCACCAGCCTGGGTTCCTCTGGCCGGCAAGCGAAGAGCTTTGATATGTCCATCACCAAAGATAGGGCCGAAGTTCATGCCGTGAAGGTCCATCTTGAACAAACTAGTCAGAATAATGCCCGATGTAGACATAGCCTCCAGAATATTCAAGCGAGTGTGAGTTTCAAGTGCCGTTCGTTCCGCATATCCTACCAAGTCGCGGAATTTCTCGGCTGTAACGGCCTTGATAGCAGCGCGCAGAGCTCGAGCTGCAGCACCTAGCCCGCTCTCAAAGTCTGCCAGATCAGACAGCGGCACTGATGACTTGGTCATGTAAATAACATTCCCAAAATACGGCATGGGGATCTCAAGGTGTGCACGGCAATCCACAGGCTGTGCTACGTATGTTTCTGCATCGCCGTTCAAGATTCCGGCCCGGTGGCGGGCTAGCATGATGCTGCGCCAGATAAAAGCAGAAATTGCGTCGTTGGTAGAAAACCATTCATCTGGACCACGAGCAATGGCAGAGAGGGATTCTCTGAGATCGCTCAGAGCCTTGACACTAATGCGGAAGGTACGGCACGAGTTCTCCACGTTGTGAATTTGAGCATGTGCGTTGGCTGGATCCGAAGTCCATGCTGCATGATTTTCGATAGCCCCAGGGACCCCATGACCGGATACCAGCTTTGTGCGATTCGTGCAATATACATCGGGTCTTGGTTCTAGCGGATAATGCGTCTCGCCTGACTGTGCCTTGTTGAGTTCATTGGCAAAGATCTTAATCACTTCAGTCACGCCCCGACCATCCGCCGCGTTGTGAATGATAGATACGACGAGAAGCAAGCCACCCTCAATGAAGTTGGCCTGGAAGCGGCATACGTCCACTAGCTCATTTGTGAAGTACCCGACCTCTGGGAGGGGACACAGCTGCTCAGTGTTCAGCAGATGTTGCGAGAAGTTGGTCTTGGCGAGATCTGAAAAACTGAGCTCTTCTGACAGGTCCTTGACAACGAGCTGGGCACCGCCTTCGGGAATGATATTGCGAAGCCATGGGCGTCCTCCTTGATCCGACGAGAAGGGGACTACAGAGCCTGCCAACAAGGGAAGTCGCTGGACAGTGTGATGAAATGCTATATGCAGTTGTTCCACCACAATTTCCTTGTCCGTAGTTTCTGGGAGAGAGAAACACAGAATTCGTTTCGAATGCGTTGGTGGCAGAATACGGTCCCAATGGGAGATTTCTACCTCGAACGGAGGACACTCGACAGTAAAGGACCGTTCCATTTTCTTTCGGCTAGTGTGGACGCGCGGATGCAGGTGTTTTATCGAATGAGGAATATCTCACAATTCCAAGTCCTTGGGATACCTTCATGGGACCATTTGAGGGAAATACCGATCCGATAATAAATGCCTGCAGCGATAGGAGGTTGGATACGGAGGCCCTTTCACCATCACCATACTTCCAATCGGGCCCATAACTCCCAGTACGTGATAGAATGAAATAATAAAATATAATAAAATATACTCAGAAATAGATTAGTACACGTCATCTTGTATCACATTGTCGCCGAGGCTAAAGTTCCCGTATATCTAAGATTCTTCTCGGGTACATAATTCTAGAACTGGCTAATCGGCTACTTTCTTCACACTTTTTTTTTTTTTTTCATTGATTTGATTATTGATTATTTATAGTTGCCTTGTTTTATTTATTTTCAGGATTCTCACCACGCCACTCAAACTAAAAATCCATTCAGACCGATAGCTGCAGTTCGATAAGGGTCATCGTGAAAGCCACACCATTCTTGAACGGACGAAATATTTATTGGACCCTCGTTATATTTTGCCAGAGAGATTAGTGAAGCTATGCGACTACATCTACATGCAACTAGCGCGAATTGCACTCAGAGAGTATTGCACTCAGAGAGTACTCCCGTGCTGGAGGCTTCAAATGCCCCCGCCCCCCACATCTTTAGTGGACCCAACACAGGCCAGGCGTTTGAAGTCATCATATCTCCAAGCTCAAACTTGTTATTTCTGCATGCAATAATCTAATCAGACCTTTAAATAAGCAGTAAGTAGCAGGCTGTACAAAAAATGGGCAGACAGAGACGGCCGCATTTCTATCAACCCTCCAGAAATGACAGCGGGACTTCTTAACCCTTCAAGACTAACAATCAGAAGCGAGACGGGAAAGAGGCCGAGAAGATTTTCGTTTGAGTTCAAAAATTTCCGATACATTCATGCAAGACGATAACGGCGTAAGATGATTGGACCCGAGAGAGGCATCATGCAGCCAAGGTACCTTTGTTTTTTTTTGGGGGCCACGAGGGAAGCTCGAACACCTTCATTCCTGACATCCCACACAATGTCCTCAAGGAACCCGGACCTGAGATCATGGCCACCCTAAGCTTCCAATGTCTATGTGTTGCTTCAGCGGCTCGCGCCTGGGAGCGCATCGAAAGCATGGTCGATGTCAGTTTTGATGTGGTCATCGCTGCAAGTGCACAGACTATCCAATTATCCCAGCAGTCGCAAAAATGCCAGCTACACAGTCAAAATTCTGCAGCAGAAGCATACAATACCTTCATTCACATCTATGGGAGGCTGGTTCCCTTCCTTGAAAGGGCTATAACTACATATGCAACAAACTTGCAATCTCCGTCCACAACATCGACATTCCAAAGAGCCGGTCAACGAAACTTGACATTTCCGCTGGATGATCAGGTTCTGGGATCAGTCGGACGGGATTTTAGTACACATCAATCCCTACAAGAACAACGCAGCCCAGCCGCCGTGGTCTGCCGACCGTCCAAAATGACATTGGGCCAATATGAAATGGACGAGCAGCAGAGCCAATATTTGGCTCTTGACGTCATTTGCCGGACTCTTCGCAATTTAGTCATCGTCCTACAAGAGATGGGTGGTGGGGAGAATGCGGAAATTAGACAAGTCGATGCGCGATTGTTGGCTATACTCGTGCAAGCCAGGAGGCTGTTGGAAAATACTTCAGCTACCCTCTCTATCTTAGAAAGCTAGGTCTTATATAGTGCATAGAATGGGGCACATTTTTTACTTACTTTCAGTCGACTATTAATTCAAAGGCTCGGAGACGATACATTCACAGTCTCACAAGTCAATATCCCGGATATTACAGGGAAAGCAAGGCAACCGCGGAAGACAGAAAATAGATGAAATCTAGTCTGTCAGAGTAATAAACCCGACGAAGTGCTCTAATCTTCGCAACTGATCTCTAAGTAAATCTTGTGTAACTTTGATGCTCGCGGCGTCCCCCTCTACTCTACCCAGCAACTGACTCAACTGCTGCACCACCCCCAGCTGTCGCTCCAAGTATAGGCGAATCAGTCTTCGTGAAAAGACCAATTTCACCGTCTCGTCCAGGTGGATGCTCCCCAAGGTCAGATGGCCTGTCGTGTACGGTAAAGGGTTCCGCGACCTGTCTTGGCCGACGGAGCTTGAACCACCGAGAGCGATTCTAGGGGCCACACTCAACCCTCCACGTCTCATGCTACTACCCGAACCGCCATCAGTGGATCCACAGCTCCTCTCAAACAAACCGAGAAGGTTGATGTTCACCAAGGCGATCAACATCAGTGTCAAGGCAGCCGCGCGACTCACTAGACAGCATGGGCAGCCCAAGGTCATTTCGCGTATCTTGCGCACTCGCTTGTCAAGATTGAGTAGCACGTCAAGGGGGATGCCTGAGCTTTTTCGTTGAAATTCATTCATGTCGTTAAGTATGTTGATCAGGACCGGGTAACATTGCAACGTGCATCGGTCACCAGGTGCAGAGAATAAATTGAACCCACGGGCCTCAGTGGCTGGGGAGGAGGCGGACGAGGAAAAAGAAGAGAGGACCGGGAAGGCATTCAGGGATTCGGACAGCACAGGTCCTGTCCCCAGAGAGTACCCCGCAGAAAAAGGAAATTCCGAGCTGATTCCGAACGATCCAGCATCAGTCTCAGGGGGAAACGTCGAGGCAAGGGATTCTCGGCTACTTAATGATGAAGGGCTCAAGTAACCCGTGAGATCGTCTTGGTTGGGGTTAGGATCTAGATCATGGACCTGGTCCAACTGGGGGGCTGCAGAGGCTAGCTCATGGTCTGTCTGGGGTAGCATCGACATGGATGCATCTAAAAGCCCCCCCAAGGCGGGCCAGTTGGTCCCTTCTAACCCACAGTCCAAACGGTTGAAATTGCCCGTTGATTCCTGGTCGGACCAGTTTTGGCTTGGCATCAAGGCTGATTCCTGGGCATGCAAGACTTGATTCGTTGCATGACGGGGATTGCCTAGCCTGGATCCGTTCTCAATGCTGGGCGATGGGAGTGAAACTCGTCGTGATAAGCCTCTGCGGGCCGTCCCTCCCGCCGTCCTCCCCATCGGTTGCTGCAGCTGGTCCAGAGGAAGATTCTTGGTAGAGGGCCGGCCAATCTTGCGGTATGGACTATATACACATCGGCGACCTTGCTGGAGGCACCGAGCACATGTCGGTTTCGCTTGGCTACATTTGATCTTGGCTTTGAGACACGTATCGCATGAAGAATGGAACTTGAACCCGGGCGGGGAATCATTGTGAGGCTTCTGGAGAGACTCTGGCTGAAGGAGCATATTTCCAATGGGGATTTAAAAGTAAGTTGAGAATTTTCCTTTTTTTCGATCATGTCCAGGGTAGAACAGCGATAATGCGGGCCATTAAGAAAGAGCCATGGCTTGGTAAATAGATAGATCGGCGGATACCGAGACACTGGTAGGAAGCGTTGGTGTCTGCCCATGTAAGCTTACATCTTGTGCATACAGAGTTTGGTGATTTAGAGCGAAAGACAACTAAGCCAGAAAAGGAATATTTTGATGGGTCTTCGTATTAATCCCTGGCAAAGCAGCCACTGCGGAATAAATGCTCTATAATAGGGTATTTGAGCTCACGGTAAGGTAGCTAAGAGTGCTTAGGCATCAGTAGGGGCCGCCCGTCGAATCGAAATGTAACCCTACTTGAATTAGCGTGTTCCTTCTACGTATAGACATACAGAGTACATAGTCTGTTGATATTTAATTAAACCCTTTTCGGGCTGACTCTTGTATTCACCTCCGCTGAATGGGTAGTTGTTCTTGGAGTACATCCTTGGGGGTTTCTAGGAATAAGTTCGACAATACAACTTAATAGCATCTTGTTGATTACAACGAACAAGAACAAGGTTAGAAATTCACAGCAATTAATAAAACATTATATAGATATAGATAGTTACAATAATATTTGAACTCAGTCTTATCTCTAGCCTTTATTCCCGACGGCCCCCACTCATCTCAGTTACGTCTCATGCGCAGCCATAATATAGACGAAGGAAGAAAGGATCTCGACGCATATGAGATATGGTGAAAAGAAAGAAAAGGGAGTAGGTGGGAAGCACCTCTGATCTAGCGCAGGTTGTCACATAACATGAAACGCAGCATGAGTCTCAACAATATAGAACATTGTAGTAGATAGGAAGCTGAGATAGAATTAACTGTAGGGGTGCACGTATGCAATATCTGTCCACAAAGGGACTCTTCATGTCCCATAATTGGAAGCTTAATTTGATTATAAGCAATATATAGATCACGCTAGCATCCGTCTTGTGAGCACGGGCTATCGGATGCTTACACCACTCCTCTCTACGCGTTGAACAGACGATTTCTGAGGTATCATTGGCCTTGAATAGTTACAAAAAATTCCTAAGCGAGATGGTTATGAATTCTAGAGTGATTCGAGCTACTGGAAGTGTATAACATGTATTTTTTTCTCCTCTATGGTTAATGCCCAGGGTGAATCCCACAAAGCGGCCAGCTTTAGTTTTCCTACCTTCTGCAACCACTGTACTTTACGCCCATCAAATGTGCCTGGCGTAAATAGGGGAGGTCTTACGATTAAAGTGAGAGGGGAATTAAAACTGATTTCGAATATTACTATATACGGCCTGAAGTTGAAAGTGAAAGGATCGAAATGCGTAAGAAAGTCCTATGGAATCGAATATTGAGGTCATGGATACGGCTATAGCAAAGTGACCAGCAACCCTTTCTGGCAGGATCTTGCAAGATAACGCGGAAAATGGTTGGACCGCGTAAATGGGGTCGGGACAGCCTCGTATTGCGGACTCCGGATGGGTGACAGCCAAGAGGCAGCCAAAGGGGCGGGTAGAGGCTTGTTTCACGGTTCATCTTCACCAATCGATTTATTGGCAGCGCCAAGACGTCTGGGCGATGAACAAACCGCAACTCAAATTGAAACCAACAAACAAGCATGTCAGAATCACAATCCGACCAATCCTGTGCCGAGAAAGGGCCTGAGCTCACGTCGCCCCTTTCCATGGCAAGCTAATAAAAAGCCATGCAAAAAGGCTTGTAGGTGCAAACAACCCTGGAGATCTCGAAGGGGAGAGAAGTGCCAATGAAAGGCTAAGAAAGGACCCGATCTTGCATCGTCCCTTGCCACAGCATAGCTAATACAAACCATGCAAAGAGGCTTGCAGGTGCAAACAGCCCTGGAGATCTCGAAGGGAGAGAAGTGCCAATCAAAGGCTGAGAAAGGACCCGACCTGCATCATCCCTTGCCGCGGCATGGCTAATACAAACCATGCAAAGAGGCTTATAGGTGCAAACAGACCCAAAAGGAGATAGAAGTGCCAATCCCATGCTGAGAAAGGACCCGAGCACACCTTACGTTACACCACCACCAAACCATGCAAACCATACAAATCCCAGCCATGATAAACATTACTGGCCAGATCCAATCATCAGTCCACAAAAGCAGCGGCTTTTTTGTTCTCTGGTTTGTATCTGTCGGATTTAGGAGATCATAACAGCGAGTGCAAACATGACCCTTGGAAGTTTAGGGGTAGATACCGCAGATAAAGAAGCATCGCCATACTTAAGAACACTATGGAGTAATCATTGGCGATTCACACAGACGGTTTTTTGTTTTCAATTAGCGCTGCCTAACTGCAGTCCCCCACATCAGTTGGATATCCGGAGCTAGTGCCAGCCACATACACTTGGATATAATATGGCCGAAGTCAAAGATCCATCTCGGGAGTCGTTACCCACTTCGAGTAGCCCGGTACCTGTCGCCGGGTCTGAAGAGTCGAAGGATGTATCGATACGCAATACTACGGATGAGGATGAGAAGAAAGCGGCTCCTGCAACGGGGCCCCCCACTGTGGAGTATCCGGGAGCCATAATGGGCAGTATTCTCACCATCGCCTTGCTACTAGCCATGTTTCTGGTCGCTTTGGACATGGTAAGGACTATGATTCTTTTTGCTTTTCCAGGGGGCTGTGCAAGGAGGTAGCTAATCAAGTCTCCTCAGAGCATCATCACCACCGCTATTCCCACTATCACGGCTCGCTTCCATAGCGAAGGTGAGATGGGATGGTATGGATCCGCCTTCTTCCTTTGTTTGGCCAGCTTTCAGTCCTTTTGGGGGAAAGCATACAAGTACTTCCCCATCAAGATTGCCTTTTTAACCGCCATCGCCGTGTTTGAGCTGGGAAGCTTGGTGGCCGCCCTCTCACCCAACAGCCCGGCCTTGATCATCGGCCGTGCCATTCAGGGCGTCGGTGGCGCGGGTGTTACCGGTGGCTGCTACACAGTTCTAGCCTTCATCACGCGTCCGAAATACCTACACGCGGTTTTCGGTCTCACCAGTGGCGTCTTTAGCTTGTCTTCTGTGCTGGGCCCCATCCTAAGTGGCGTATTCACCCAGTACGCGACATGGCGATGGTGCTTCTGGGTTAACTTACCCATTGGAGGTTTTGCAGTGATAATTCTGGTGTTGTTCTTGAAGATGCCACCTCATTCTCGTGTTGCGCATGCTAAATTGAAGGAGCTCCCCTTCCTCTTCGATATCCCGGGCATCGCTCTCACGGTGTGTGCGTTGGTATGTCTGGTCTTGGTACTGGAGAACGGCGGTGTCACCAAGCCCTGGAACAGCGGTTACTGTATTGGACTTCTCATTGGATTTATCCTGATCGTTATTTTGCTCATCGCTCTAGAATGGAAGCAAGGCGAAGGGGCCATGATTGTTCCTCGGATCATCAAGCGCCGAACCGTTCTCGTCCTTGCGCTGTTCAACTTGACAGCACAGGGCTCTGGATTCGCCCGTATTTATAACCTTCCCATTTACTTCCAGGCAGCACAAGGCCAGTCACCATCAGAATCGGGGATTCGAACACTGCCGACGGTGTTGACAACCTGTAAGTAGTCCTTCGCTGTTGCCCCTATCTCCCCATCTCTCATAATTCCTCGGAACTAACACACCTTCCAAAACAGCCATATTCAGTTTCGCTGGGTCCCTTGCTATCGGCAAGGTGGGCTACTACCAGCCCTTCCTCATGCTAGGTTCCATGTTTGTGACGATAGGATCCGCTATGATCTATACCCTGGAGCCGAGCTCTGGGGCAGGCAAATACATTGGCTATCAGGTGCTGGCCTCGATTGGGTCGGGGCTCATTATCCAGCTCAACGTTATTGTAGCTCAGGCAATCTCCAAGCGGGTGGACATGTCTGTCACCGTGGGCTCCGTTTTATGTGAGTCATGCTGCGCACCGTCCTCCTTTGCTGTCTCTGGCCACACTGACTGACGGAAACCCTAACTCTCACAGTCTTCCAATTCATTGGCGGTACTATCGGTGTTGCGGCTTCCACGAATATAATGAACAACGTGGTCATTTCCTCGCTGCCCAAAGATGGCCGGCTATCTGCTTCTGATGTGCTTAGCGCTGGTTCAACCGGTCTGGCCAAGATATTCCCGAATCCCGCGGATCTCAAGATCGTTGTTAACGCTTACATGAAAGGATTAAAGGCCGCCTGGATCTGGAGTATTGCCCTAGCTGGAGTGTCCTTCTTGGTCTCCCTCGCTGCAGAGCGCAAGAGTGTACGGTTAGACCATGTTAAAAAGAGAGCCGAGAAGAAAGCTGCGGCTGAGGCTGCGACTCCTTGAACCTGCATACGCGAAACCGCGTTGGGAGGGCCCTTTCTTAGCAGACCCCTCTAACGGCAATCAAGAAACTTCAGGATAGCAGCGAGCGTGTTGGGAGTGCTCAATGGAGCCAAATCACTGCGGCTGTCGCAATAATCATTGCTGCCACGAACGAGAGTCATCAGGATGGCCCAGAGCATAGGGGAGACTATATAGATTGAACCCTGAATTCCAAACCATAATGTATAATTAGCTACGGAAAAGTCCATTTCCTTAGATTCAGACAAAATTGAGATAGGATGATTAGGGACTGATAGAAATCTGGGTGTACAACAATGTATAGTATGAATGGCAGATGTGTATCGGGTTCCAGTTCGGGTAGACTTCTAACTGTATGATTATATAACAAAAGTCTCCACTTAGGCTGTCCATAGAAAATCTGTCAAGTTAGCCGCGCGCTTCGAGTTTTGCCACCGCCCAGCTCTCTATCAGTTGCTCCTCGAGTCCCCTCTTCCCTGCTAAGCCTCTCCATTCGTTGCAAACCAAGATACCATCGCGATGTCTTCACGCGGCCATAATGATAGCGGGAAACTGCTGTCCAAACCGATTTCTCTATCTTCATCCGGTTCAAGTGGCCCTCCGAAAAAGACCGGTTTCAACATCCAATCCTCAAATCGCGGCTGTTCTACCAATTCCCCAGCAAACGGCCGGTCCCTGCCTCGGCGACCTCACCAGCTCGGTTACTCCGATGAATCTGACGAAGATGAAGCCCCTCCGGTCCACGAGGAAATCTTAGGATTCGACACCCACACAGGTGGCGCCATTGCCGCAGACGGACAGGCTGTCGCGGACGCAAACAAGCCGCTGATAATTCCCGTCACGAGCAAGAACAACTGGCGCGACCGGGCGGGCGTAAACGTGAAGAAGAGCAAGAAGAACCTTCTTCCTAGCGAAGTGCAGGCTATGCAGGAAGCGCAAAAGAACGGACAAGCACCCCCCGGAGAGCCTACAGTAGAGACAGATACGCCCAGCATGGCGTACGGGTTGAGCTTTGCACAACAGTCTGCAGAAAAGGCAGATGGGGGAGCAGCAGTGGACGAAGACCAGGCCATGCCTGATGCGAAACCTGTCGAGACTAAGCCTCTCACGGAGGACGAGATTGCGATGCAGGCGCTGATTCGGGAAACCACGGGTGACACGGAACGGAGGTCGGACCTTGTGATTGAGTCTGCTTCAAAGGAGGAAGAATCAGTCCAACACAGCGAACTCGGATCTTTCCGAACAGATGTGGCATCCCGGCCTGAGCCTGCTACTTTGGACGCTTACAATGCCATTCCCGTTGAGGAATTCGGTGCGGCGCTACTACGAGGAATGGGTTGGAAGGATGGTCAATCTATCGGACGAGGAAACTATAGCAGTGCCACAGCTGCAGAGAAGGCGAAAAACCCTCGTGTTCCAGAACGACGACCTGGGTTCCTCGGTATTGGTGCAAAGGATTCATCCGGCGGCAAGGGTGCCGAAACTGAGCTTGGAGCTTGGGGGAAAGCAGCTATGCGCAAAGCATCGAGGAAACAGGGGGAAGAAAACGACAAGGCTGAGGGCGTGTACATGCCTATCACGATGCGGAATAAGAAAACCGGCGAGCAACTCACCGAAGAGGAACTTGCTGCTCTACAAAAAGAGGCCAGGTCCAAACCTGCCGAGGAAGACGATTGGCGCGAGCGACGAGATCGCAACCTTGAGAAGAGCGGTCGGGACAAGGATCGAGACCGGGAATACCGCAACCGCGACCACGACGATGAGGAGGAGCGTTCTCGTTGGAAGAATGGGTCCTCGCGACGTGACCGTGACCGCAGTCGGTCTAGCGGCCGCCACTCTTCTAGTCGTTCCTCTCGATATGATGATGACGATAAAAGCAGACGGGACGACCGTTCCTATCGGGGTCGGGATCGAGACTACGACCGGGATCGTCGTCACCGTGATGACGATAAGGACGACCGAAGGAGAGATAGAGATCGCAGCCATCGATCTCGAGATGAGAGATATAGCAGCTCGCGACACTCGTCTCACTCGTCTCGAAATGACCGAGACCGAGACCGTGATCGCGACTCTCGTCGGAGTCGTCGCGATGACTAAAAGCTAGATGTTTTGGCTAGGGCATTGGGGTGTTAGTACAGAACCAATTCCTGCTTCTTTGAAGCTACATATTCCTTTTCGTCTAGTTATTTTACTATGAGACTCAACCAAAAAGAGATACCCTGAATAATCAAAAGACATGGCGTTGGCAAAAGAACACTTTCCATGATACACTGTTCAATTCTATAAAGAAATGGCTTTTATCCTTCCCACCCATGGTACTCCAAGAACGAAAGCGCCAAATTCAATGTACAAACAAGGCAAAAGGCTAAAGCCAGACTATGCTTCCAACATAATAATGTCCTTTTCATGCTCTTCCTCGTCACTGACATCGCCCACAGTCAAATCACGTAGCCCACCGAGTCCAACACCACCATCCATCTCACCAAGAACCCACTCGACAAGGTAGCTGTCATCAACCAGCTCCTCAACTCGCTTGTAGTGTCTCTCAGTGTACGCAGCCAGTGCCTGCAGGATATCCTTCAGACCAGCCGCAGCACGACCATCTTTTCCGCGGACGGACTGAGTCGCAAGCTCCACGAAAGTAGACGCAGGGTAAGAGCGGAACAGAGCATACAGGATGCGTTGTGAGACGCGCGAGGTGCGCGCATTGGTGTTCCAGTCCCGGAGACGGAGCAGGAGAGTGCGCAGATTGGCAGGGTCCAAGTTCTGCAGGACTTCGTCGATGGACGGGTTTCCGGACAGACTGCTTGCAGCACGCTCGCGGTCCTCGGCAGGGAGGGTTGGGTCATCTGCGGCGTTGATGGCGGAGGTGAAGAGCGAAAGCAGTCTACCCGGGTGGTTGAGCTGCAGGGCCAGTGTGATGGCTTCACGGTAGGCACCGGCGCGGATGTAGTTCTGCAGCTCTTGGTCCTGTTCGACGCGAGCAGAGCTGGCGTTGACAGCGGCTGTGTAGGTGGATGATGTAGTATCAGTCCAGAAGGTCACTGTTGCGTCGGCTGAACCAGAGGCAATGGCGTAGGGAGTGGTGTTCAGCTTGGAGGAGGTTGGCTTTACGTCTGCGCGTGAGCCGGATGGGGTTGGGCTGGCAAGTGCCCAGACTCGGTCGATGTGGTTGTCCAGGGTGGTTTCCAGCTCGCCTGTGTAGGGGGACCAGATCTTGACCAGACCGTCTGCGGCGGCAGATGCGATAAGGGGACGGTCCTGCACGGCGTTTTTGCGTACTGTTGCAGCCTCTTCGTCATCCTCGTCATCGTCAATTTGGTTGTTCGAGACCTGCGGAGGTGGGAGCCAGAGGACTTTGAGAACACTGTTGGTGTGACCCTCGAAAGTCAATAGACAGCTGTAGTCAGACAGACTCCACAGTTTGACGGTCTTGTCACCAGAGCCTGTGACTGCTAGGCCACGGCTCGTGCTGGTACGTGAATCTGAGTTGATAATCGGTGTGCCTTGCGGGGCGAATCGCACCGACCACACACCTCGCTTGTGGCCACGGAGGACACCTACCGACGAGCCTTCATCGGCGGCCCAGATTTTCACGGTGCGATCTTGTGATGCTGATGCAAAAAGTTCAGATGTAGAATCGATATCAATGGCATTGATATCCTTTTCGTGGGCCTTGCGAGTATATATGGCCTTAGGATAGTGTGGTTTTTCTCCTGTCAGGGGGGCTAACTTGCTTGTATCCCATCGCTTGATTGTGCGATCTTGTGAGCCAGTAATTAAGAATGCCGGTGGGTGGTTCAAGGGGTCGTTATATGCGGCACTGCCAACAGGAGGTGGCACGCGTGGAAGGGCGATTGCTCCCAAGGACTCGGCGTGACCAGTGAAAATAGCAAAGCAAGTATAAGAGGATGTCTTCGGGTCAATACGCCAAAGACGGGCTGTATTATCTTTAGCGCCAGTGGCTAGCCAGTGTCCTGACCAATCTGCATCAATGCAAATGATAATATCGTCGTGGCCTTCCAGGTGTGTGACATCAGCACCAAAGTACTCTTCTCCCTGATTTGAGGGTCGGTCTTCCGAGGGAGCGACCGAAACTACACGAATACTCTCGGTATTTGTGGCCAAAGCAAGCATAGATCGATCTGGTCCAATGTAAGCCAGGTCAATGATCTCGTCGTCATTACCGGAAATGCGGCGGATAATCGCCAAAGGCTCCAAAATTGACCCCGGCTTATAATCAGACAGCGACTCGAGCGAGTGGAGACGGAGAGTCTGATCTGCATGTACGGTAAGGACAAAAGGCAAACCAGGTGAATACTGGATGGCCACGACGCTTTCGAACTCCTCTCCAGCCTCTTGTTCCTCTGTGATCTCGCTTCCACGGTTGCAGTCCCAAACTCGCAGTTTGCCATTTTCTCCACCGATAACGCACAGTCCGCTATCCGCAATGAAAGCCGCGGCTTCCACGCTCTCCAAAACAGGAATGATTCTGCGAGTCTTCCAAGTACGCACATCCCAGACAATGACAGTCTTGTCTCGACTGGCCGAGATCAATGCGTTCTCTGACGGAGAAAAGGACAAACTGCGGACAAGTGAAACATGTGACTCGAGCGACGCAATGGACTTTCTCTTGTGTAGATCCCATACACGCATTTTGCCATCTTCACTGCCAGATGCTAGGCGGAATCCTGCAGTGGAACCCGTACGGGCAGAGCCCTCCATTTCTTCTTCATCGTCCCCCGTAGCCTGTTGCTTAGACTTGTTCTTCTTGGATAATTTGGCGTCGCTGTCGGCGGTAGGAACCTCGAAAAAGCAAAGCGCAGAAATGACACCACCATGACCATGGAAAGTGTGAGTGACAAAACCGCCTCTGATGTCCCAGACCTTGATTGAGCCATCAGCACCTCCAGTGCCAAGCAGTGTACCAGTAGGGTCAACAGCAATGGTTACAACGGGGGCTGTGTGAGGCTTGAGGGTTCGGAGAAGTTTTGCTTCGATGGTCTGGGAGGTCTCGTCGAAAGTTGAGAGGCCGTAAATTCGCATGGACATCGAGCGCGAGCAGACAATGGCGTGTGAGGCGGAAGGTGTGACTAGGCGAATTGTCAGTGTTTTATTCTTATTCCTAGGACATAGAATACCCACTCGCTAAACCTGTGACAATTTCTCCATCCTATAGTGTTTATTTGGTTAGCGCTTTGTAATTAACGAATATGCAAAAGGCGACAAAACATACCCCCTCCAGGCTGGTAAGTTGGTTGCCAGTCTCCAAATCGACGATCAAGGCATCCTCGCCCACGCAGCTCAGCAAGATGCGCCCACTGGCATCCAGCGCCGTGCTACCGCCGGTGTAAATGGGGCGGAGCGTGCGGGACGCCTCGAAAGTGGTTTTGACGATAGCTTTCGACATGACTCTATAATATCTCGGCGTAAAAAAGTAGAATTTAGCACGCCATTGGCCAGTCGAAGAGCCGTAGAGATTGAACGATCGCAAAAAAACGGCAGCTCGAGCGGGCAACTTTTTTTGTTGTTTGCACTGTTTGTTTGGTGATAAGATATGGCTTGTGCCTGAGGCCAAAGTAACCGCATAACCACATGTGTACCTTCTTCAACTACTGGGCTTTCGTCTAATTATTGCTCATCGCTTGCTACCTTTGAGTCCACAGCTTCTGGCAACATTCGTACTAATTATGCACCAGAAGGCGATGTGGCTACACTAATAGCCCAGTGACCTCGCACGATATGGGTCGACAGGCTTATTTGAACCGCCTCGCTTTGGTAAGCTCCATCTTTTTACGCGCGAACTTCCCCTATATTTGCAGTTGACGTATCTTGGGCTTATGGAATGTGATAATGGATTATGCTTTATCTTGAAAAGCCTAAAGTCTTCTGAAACCGAACCAGCCACCACCTGGCCCTGCCCCATTACTTCTATCCTGATATACAAACCCATCCCGAACGCGTCTTGTCAGGCACGATTAATTGAGCGTAGCTATATACCGGATAGGATATCATATTAACTGATTTCAAGGGCCGGTCCCCCTATGAAGCCCCCGACAATGCGGCGGTTGACCCCTCCACTCCAGTCCGACGAATCTCCAACGTCCATGCGGACGATTATATGCAGCAATATGATACTCGAGGGCACCCTGTTAATCCCGAGTCCAGAACCCTCGGGAAAGAACTCCGGAGAGCAAAGAATGACATCCTCTCAACAATGGGGATTGTCGTCAGTGGAGAAGACCGAAACTCTACTATCCCGAATGAACAGCAAAAGATCAACCAGATTGCGAGTGAAAATGACTTCGGACTGGTCATAACAACTCTTGATCAACTGTTCATCTTTTTCGGCACTTGGTGGACCTCTTCAGCCACTGGTCGAGTACAGGTAAATGCAACACTGATTACTCTAGATGTTGATTGAGCTGACATTCGAAACTTGGCGTTCAGACTTACCGGCATTATGCCCATTCCACATTAATGGGTGTCATACAGTCTGAGAGAGACACCGCGGGGATTCTTAGTTTCTATTTTTCGGGAATTCCTGCCTGGGCAATGTCTTGTGGGTTGGCTATAGCTCGTGAAACCCCGCTGAAACGGGTGTTTGTCTCTCTCCGGGACTACGTTCAGTCTTTGACCGGCGACTCACTCGGTGTTCGTTCTCTTTTCGGACTTCTATACACAGGGTGAGTATATTTCATCCGTTCAAACAGACAGGATAACTAATTGTGAATGAAGGGCGAGAAATGCTGTGCTCATGTTGTCTATGGAGTTCTACATGTACTCCACACTCCAATCTCTTTCCCTTGTTTCTCCTTATGGGATCCCCGGAGCGCAACTTTTGCTTCCCTTCAGCAGAGAATCTTTGCTCCAGCTGCCACCCTTGCCCACTGATTTCTCCCCTTACTCCCTGGGGAATACGCTCTTGCAATTTTTAATCTCTCCCGGCGTTTTAGTCTTCCTCTACGGGTACTACTTGCGACCGGAGCTCGAGGAGCGTATCTATCGGTTGATCAGACGACACCTTCCAAAGCCAGCTCTTCCTGACGAACTCTCAGTCCGCGTTGCCTTTGAAGAAAACCTGATAGAGTGGGTGGTGCCCACCCTGGGCCGCAGATCAGACGAAGAATTATACCGCGGCTCACTCCCACTATTTGAAGATATCAAGTTCGAACTGGCCACTTTTCGCAGATGGGTATCATCCCTTTTCGGACTAAGATCGAATCAATTGTCAGAGAAGCAAGCCCTCCAGTCCTTTAGTGACGAGAGGATTGAAAATCTACGCAATTCGATTGAATTGTTGCAAAATGAACTTGACGGAGTCCAACACACCCCTGATGGTGAAGAAGGACCAAATTATCCCGTGCCTCGGCCGCCGGGAATCACTCCTGATGCCCAGGTTTCCGCTCCTGCATCACGAGTCCGACCACACCCAGAGGAAGCAAGTCGACCCACGCATTTGACTCAAGCAGAATCAGTTATTGGGTTGAATCAGGTACTTACAAATGAAAATCGTATGTCTCAATCACCTGGGGAAATGAGCAATGACTATTTCTCCGAGATAGCTACTGCTGGACGAACAAGTCGTCTCTCGGCCGCTTCAACACCGCAGGACCAAACAGCCCCTTTACAAAATGGTGAGGATTTTGCTACGGACCGACAGAGCTCGCGATCTAATACCCTCTTTTCTCGGTCATCATCACCAGAAACATCACCTCCTACGTCGCCTCGCGTAAGAGCATCTTTGATTCACCAGAGCTCCGACGTTATCACGATGCAGCTTGAGTTGATGGGTAATCGAAACCGTCACCCGCAACTCCAACCTCCAAATCCTGCCCAGCTGAATGCACCAGCGCGCAATAATGCATCAGGATCAAATACAACCCCAGACGCCATGGACAGACGATCCATAGCCGAGTTCCTCGAGGCTCTAATCCTAAGCCAGGCCCAGCGCCAGGCCCAGCAGCCCCTTCCAGCAGCAGATACGGATGGCCTCTCAAGTATCACGGCCGGGCCATCCAACGCTACCCCGGAAGACTTGGGTGCCCCTGGATTAGACCCTCAAATTCCGGCCCCGGAAACCCAAGCCACCGACGCTCCAACTTTAGAGTCGATCGAGGAAGCACTGGGGTCCATCGTTCCAAACGTTCTCCCAGATGGCGTGGAAGAACCAAATGACGAAGGGCCCTCCAATGAAAACCCTGTCGCAGACACAGATCATAATGAAGACACCCAATCCGACACCCTCGTGCAACCAATTCTACCCTCTTCCCTGGTTCCTAGACAACTAACAAACACATTGTCTCAAGTCCACCGCATCACCCTTCTTTCGGCATACCCAGTGGACTCTCTCGCATCTCACCTCGCCGCTGCAGTTAGCGGCATCATACTCGCGCCGCTTGAAGCACTCTACCTTCGCTCATTGACCCGATCCTGGATTATCTCCCACCCTTCCTCCATTATGCGTCTCTCAGATATCCATCCGTTGGATCTTTGGTTTGGCGGAAGAACTTGGCCAGACGTATGGGCCTATTCCGGCCGACTCGTGCTCATGAGAGGGATGCAAGTTGCGATGAGAGCGGGGATTTGGGGGTTCCTGGTGGGCTCCACAATGAGGATAGGGAGAAACTTCTGCGGCTGGGGAACTTTGTGATGAATACTTGTTTCTTTTAGCCAGCTCAATGCCTAGGTCACTCTACCATATGTCCTCTATCTCCCCTGTAGTCCCAGCGGTTCAACGGGGGAGTAAGTCGATATGCAATTCGAGAAGTATCGAGTGTGCTCTCTTACAGAGCCCTCTTTCAAACTATAATCAAATCAAAACTACCCCAAACCTCAAAAAGTTGTCTCTCTTTTGCCTTCCACGCTCTCTGAAGTTTGATAGCCAGGTGGTTGATTTTATCGTATGGAAAGTCGTCGGGGTCTGAACATCCATCCCATTCAAACTGAAGCCCAGCGGGGTAAAATTTACTGTACCAGATTACATGAGTTTTGAAATAAGACTTCAGTCGAGAAGTAGTGTTCGATAGTAGGCCTTTTAATCGGTCCTGGAGCTAGCGTTCACATTTGCAAGTTGTTCTGGTCTTGCCGATAACTTGCCTTGGACCTGCTTGGTCCTAAAGAAAAAAGAACTTGGCTGGGCCAAGTTGTTGCCGGGCTATTTGAGGTTGAGTTAATTATAGTCTCTGCTTTCAGGGTAATTCTGACCCTCGGTCTTCAATGTTTGTGTGGATTCGACCAACTGGTATGTGAGGTCCTCCGTATTGTGCAAGTCAAGAAAGACCTGCTCCCGTGATAAGGATGGGTCCTGCGTATCACTTCTGAAAACATCTTCAATCCCCTGAGAAGATAGGATGTTTTCCTCAGCTTCGTCGTCAAAATCACCAGGGTCACCAGGGTCAGTCTCGGCTCTTTCAAGTCGATCCACTGGTGTACTCTGAATATGGTTTGCTATTTCTTCAATGGCATCATCATTTAAACCCACAATGTAGCTCTCAATATCAGTCTCTCGAAGGTTGTCCATCGCTATGATAGCCGTTCGATTCTGGCAGTTTTGCTTGTGAAAAGGTCTTGGCATTGCCTGGGTAGCTGTTCTGGCTATTAAGGGGCAAAGATAGGAGATGAAAGGTTAATTCTGACAACGAACAGGAAGCCAGTTACTTGGAATAATCCTTGAGGCAGCTATGTCATAATCTGACAAGCCAGGCACCAAGGCAGGTGGCTGTCTCAAGAGTAGCCATTCTAGGAAAACAAAGTCCCCTGTTATACATAAAAAAGGCCTCTTAGGGTCTACATTTTTACCATCTTCGCATATTGTACATATTAGAGTCTGAATGGCACTCTGTGTTACTATTCATTATCCTTTGAGAAGTTATAACACCGAGGGGGGGAAGTATATAGTAAAGCCTATTTATAACGATACATTATAATACTATAAGCAGTTAATTGTCAAATCAAGGTGCCATATATTAAATATATATTTCTGGTTTATATACAAATTCAGGTTCCAAAAAAGCTCTTATCATCGCACTGCTTCTCTACCCCCCATATCCTCACCTTCACGAACCCTTCATGTCTATCAAGCGCAGTAAGTAACTATTCTCATAGAGTCACTTTCTAGGAGGTTAGGATTGATCGGTGAGGCTTTTTAATTGGCTGAAATCGGCCAAAGACCACGTGATTACACAGCGGGGTTTTAATTAGTCAGGATTGGCTGAAAATGACGTATAAATCTCTGGATATAACATTGTTTTTGCATGGAAGAGAGGGTGAATTAATAAAGTTCGTAAGCAGTAAACAGATTTTAAACCGTGTTATCATTATATCCGCTATCGTTATAAATAGGTTTTACTGTAGTTATAAAGTACAAAAAAAAGAAATGCAAGCGGCGCGATTCGAACGCGCGCGGTTTCCCACTACGGGTTCAGATGTTATTATCAAATAACCTCCTAAACGTAGCGCCTTAACCACTCGGCCACGCTTGCCGGATATGGAAAATAGGACCTCTACTACATATCAAACAAATTCTTATTCACCCATTGAGTATTCTATAGTCATAAAATTACATGGTTACTGTAATCCACATAACTAGGCGGCGATAGGTACAAATGTACGTTGGCAGTCGTTTCCCATTTCGGGATCCCACTAGTATATAATTAGGCTGTAAAATATAGCAGGTGTTGTCTTTCTATATCTTTTCATTTCTAATGCAGCATTTGCGCCTGTTTTACCGTACAGTGGAATATATCGAAACCAAAGCATAATTTCGTCATTATTTGATGGTACATTGCATTTTCTCTCAAACATACAAACGTAAAAGACAATAGGAAGTTTGAAGCCCAAGCCAACCTCTCAGGTGTAACCATCTCAGATCATGCACGTCCCTTTCCTTTGTTCCCTGGCACCTTACGCCGCTCCCAGACCATAAGATATCCCTCACGAGTAAACAGCGTCTCGCTCTCCGCACGCTTGACGAACAAATCCTGAATTTCAAGCCACTCCGGGCCCTGCTGCTGCTTCTCTGTGGAACCGCCGTTTTTGGTGCGAGTGTTCTCGGCCTCCATGGCTTTATCATGAAGTTGGACAAGCCATGACACCTTCTCGCTGCCACCACCGGCCCCGCTGGAAGAACCGCCAGCCCCTGACGCAGCGTTGACGCCCTTATCCACAGCGTCATCCATTGCACCGGGTGCGGCTATGGCAGGGTCGAGGATGATGTTTGCGACAAGATCGTAGAGGATTGGCTCTCCGGGTGAGCAAATATTGGGATTTGGCTCGACGTAGGGGGACATATCCAAGTTGTGCGGCGAGGGAAAGGTGACGATGGTTGGGTTTCGCTCAGAGACAAAGCGGTTCTTGCTGAAGCGCTTAATATGGAAGAAGAGGTAGGGAGGAAGAGGGTGGAGGAGACGGTGTCGGACACGGTGTGCCAGTTTCTCTGATGCCGTGTAGCCGTTATATTTGTTCAAGAGGGTAGTCAAGGGAACCTGTGGGATACTGGACTCCCGATTGGCAGATTGGAAGAGGGGTGTGGGGGGTAAGTCCAGTGTGAGGATGAGGAAAGGAGTTACCTGGCTATTGATTGTGCCAGATTCAGTGAATACCAAACGGGCATTTTGGGTGTCGGAGTGAGCGGTGATAGCTTGGCTTTCGATCCGTACGCGGCCCTGGAACGCTGCGTGAACAACACTTGTGGGTGTTGGAGAGGGCTTCTTGGACCCTCCTAAGGCGAGGTGCAAGCAGTTTAGGAACCAAGACAAGAAGTCCACAGGATCTGCTTGGTTTGTGAGAGTAAACCGTTTCGAGGATCGCACGGCAATCTCCTGTAGTAACTCGTGTGGAGACACATGTGACCGGAATGCCTTAGGGTTCCATAGCTTGCGCACCAGCGTGCTAAAACGAAGAATGATCTCTGGTGTGCCAGGCGTAGGGAAATCGTGGAGGAGGAAGAAATTGCGAATAGGCAAAACATGTGCCAGTAGTTGAGCTACTACATTGACGTAGTCGTTGGCTTTGATGTTGTTCATGCCGACAAACCCTGAAAAGAAAAACAATTAGTCAAAATGATTAGTCAAAATGAACCTTTCAACTTTATCATGGTGCAGGCTCTTACCTGGTCTGTACTTCGACCCAGAAAGGTCCCAGGCATCATGCACTTCCTTATCGAGCTTGACCACTTGGTTCTTTGTGTAGTGTGGATCAACCACATATTTGATATCTTCCAAACTCTTGTTATTGACTTCGTATCCTTCAGGCAAAACATAGACCTTCTTCGTGCCAATGTTGATGAAGACGTGGTGTCCAACTTCAAGGGCGTGAAAATAGGCATGCGATTTCGGACCACGGCCCTGGAAGTATTTGCCGCAGACAAGGCATGCGTACACATTTATATTTGACAGACTGATGGAGCACAGCTTCTCGAAATCGAAATCCAGGATTTCCCGGTTGATCGTGTCGAGGTACAGGTCGCTGTAGCCTTCCATGGGGGCGATTTGCCGCTTCGGAGCGCTGAGTGCAGGTGCATCTTCGTCAATATCCGAGAATCCAGAGGGGTCTTTTTCGCCCTCCTCGAGCTCCTCCCCTTCTATTTCAGCTGCTCCTTGAATATCCACACCATTGCGATCCTGTCCCAGCTCTTCGACGCTCGATGGGTATGCGGGCACTGCGCGGTTGCGAGAATCGGAGTCATTGTCGTCCTCGACGCGCGCCTTTTTCGATACAGGTGAGCCAGAGAAGTCTTGCTCCAAGGGAAGCTCTGCTGGTCTTTTGGACATTGTGAGATGATTTGGATCGAAAAGTTGGTGATCTCGGAGTTCTTGACTTTCTCAGAGCTCGGGATGCGACTTAGTTGCAAACAAGTCAAACGCCCATGGTCAGACCAATGCCAAGCCGTATACGGAGTACAGTACGTTCCATACAAAATGGTGTTCATTTTGAGCAGTGAGATTATAGGGCCGTATTTGCCTATTATTTATTCAAGACTATCTAGTAATCTACTCTTTACTTGACTTCCAAGGTTGCTACAGCCTAAATCATGCCGACCGTTCGATTATCTCGGAATCAAAAGAAAAACGTCATAAGATGTGATACAACAAACGCCGTGGTATGTCGACCTTCAAGCACTCCGGACCACCTTATCGTTATCCACAGAGATTTCTTGCACACCATCCTTTGTCACGACCTTCACCAACATCTGCGAATAATTGTATCAGCATAACGGCATTTGGGGATGGCTTTCTAAAGAACTTACCCCCTTGTAGTCAATTGGTAGTCTACGCTTCAGCTCATCTGTGCACAGTGTGAGGAGCGCAAGGCCCTCCTCGAGGGAGCAGTCGGGATGGTGGTGTTTGTCAAGAATGGAGAGGCAGTAGTATCTAGCAGAGTCAGCATCAGTTATCTCTCGCCTGGACTTTCGTATCGTCCATCATCATGGGCCAGGAAACATACTGGGCATAGCCGTGGGCAGCATATGGGAGGGGCGCAAGCGACGCTAGATAATCAACCCAGTAGAGATGAGGCTTCTCAGTGACCGGATCTATACCACCTAGCAGCAGGTTTACTGTGTAGGGACTTCGTGACCGCAGGCTGCGTGCCAATTCTCCCCGGACGAAATTGGCAACGGCAGAGGGGCTGAGCTCGGTTTCGTTGCGCATGCTGTAGAGTGCAGCGTTGGCTTGGATGTATTCGGCAAATTGAACTAACATAGGTATCTCATTAGCATCTTGTATATCTCATCGGAGAAGCTACATACCGGTATCTCCCGACTCGCCAGAGAAGGCCATCAATGTGTTCTTGTTCAACTGTCGTGTCTTATCATCTTCAGCCTTGAGGACTGTTGGGCCTCTCATTGCGGCCTTGGATGCAGCAAGAATGACGAAGTCCTTGCCGGCGATACCCAAAAGAACCTCCCTAGCAACTGTTAATGACCATTTGTAGAAACCAGATTACCGTCAACTTACATGTTTGCGGTATGAGAGATAAATAAAAAAAATAACAAGCAAGTAGATGATCAGAGAAGACGAAGGGGAGTAGTGGTTAAGTGAGGAGGACCGCGCGGTGAGCTTGACGCCTGGAGCTCCCGTGAGGTCAGCTACCTGCTGAGTCAGCCGCCGCTTAGCGCTTTTTTTTCTGCCAAAAAAAAGTTGAAGTTTTGATCTCCGCAGTCCGAGTCCCTCGAGAACGCCATATTTGAATTTTTTATACAGAGATCAAGAACTGACAGGCTTGACAAAACGTCGCCATGTCATCCTTTTTCACTGTACCCAATTCTCAGCGCAAGAGGAAGAGAGACGACCGTGCCGGAGCCCCAGGATCGAAAAAGCGAGGCGTGGATGCCAAAACCGACGGTGTTCGACGTACCAGAGAGAGAGAAGAATCAATCTCAGGCAGTGACTTGGACGAAGATGCCGCAATTGATACGGCAGAGTCAGGCGACGAAAGCGGATCGGACTCCGAAGATGGCGAAACCGCGGCGGATCGAAGATTGAAACTCGCTGAACGCTACTTGGGTAACATCCAAGAAGA